ATGCCAATAGGAACAACAGGGGATTCTTCTTCATTGGGGCGGGTGATCCTTTCTGACCTTCTCGATCTACTAGCCATATGTAGATAACAAAGTTAAAACACATATTTTTCACATTCTCAAATATAATAAAGTGTCCAAGTTCAGTTATGTACCTGTAAATTCAAAATTACATTGGCCAGATGTAATCCGAAAATACCTTACACACTGATCTCTTAACTTATTATATTTATTCCAAAGGTGCTAACTATGTTTGGGACTCTAATATACAATGAAATAGTTTAAGTCTATGTATCATACATGTGAATACCTAAATCCCTTAAACTCAGACTCTAATACCAACTCTGTAACACCCCCCAATCCTTACATTGCATATAACACATATTTTATACATAGAATACATGTCTTCTCCCACATAGGTCCATAATACAAGAGTCTATAATGTAAAATACGTAAGCCAAAAATTCCAAAATTACATGCTCTTGCATTCTAGCATCAATGCTTCCAAAACAGCTAAGCACATAGGGAAGTAATTCACATAATTATCTTTCCCTTATTATCTTTACCTGCACACATAATTTTGAAAACACAAAATGAGGGTTAGACATTAATGTCTAGTGAGGTTCCCTTTTATGTAATGCAGGGTGAAGATCACCAAAACGTTTATTTCAAATCATTCATTTTATGAAACAAAACTAAAATCATATTGCTTCAGTCCATCGGGCCTCTGGTTCCAAACCACACTTGGAATATATTTCAACATCCAGGACCAGAGCCCCTCTGGTCTTTCTTTCAGAGCTTCTGGTTCCTCGACCAGAGCCTCTGGTTGCACTAACCAGAGCTTCTGGTTCAATGTGCAAGCCAACCAGAGCCTCTCTGGTCTGTTTTTCATAAAAAGATTCTAAGTATAAAATTCTTTTCTTAAAACTTCTAAAATATGATTTTGACATAGAAGCTAGTATTGATAGATATAGAACCTCTGATCCAAATAGTATATTTAGTAAAAACTTGCTCTTTCTTCAAATCAATAACCAGAATCCTCTGGTCCAATAATGAGGACCAACCAAAGCCCCTTCGGTTCCTTACAAGGAACAACCAGAGCCCGTCTGATTCCTCAAAAAAATGACCATTATGTTCCAAAACACTTTTAACCAATACCAATGGCCATAGGCCAAGTTTTCCCCTTCTCAATGACATCAATACCATTATTTCTAATAAGAACAATATCTTTGAGTTCTCAAATCACAAAGAAATAAGGATTCAAATCTATTGTAGTCTTAAAAGACATAATAGTAAGAGCTATAATATTCACACACAATTGCCACCCTTATTCCAAAAGACACMTCTCCTTGATAKGCCACCCTTATTCCAAAAGACACMTCTCYTTGATATGCCACCCTTATTCCAAAAGACACCTCTCCTTGATATGCCACCCTTATTCCTTCTTCAAAATCTATGAACTAATTCGGATGAAGGACCGCAGTCACAACCATCTTATCGAATCCTCATTCATAGTTTTATCCATAACATTTATAGATTAATTCCAAATGAAGACAGATCAAAGTCACAATCGTCTCAAAAGAATATTCTCTATAGTTTTCATACAACAGTTTTATCATCAAAACCTTTCAAACTCAAGAACAAACTTATCTTTCGAAGATTTCCAAAACATCAAGTCCCTTTTAAATCCTCAAATCAGGATATCATTTCCAAAACTGTTTTAAAGAAGCAATCTCTTCTTTATCTTTCCCAAAATAGTTTTTAATACAAAAAAATATAACAATAACACCTTTAAACTATCAAAATAGTTTTACCATCTTTTCTTCAAAACCAACATCAAAACCCGTAGTGTATAATCAACAATATTTATAAAACTCACAGTTTATAATCAACGGTAGTTTAAAAACTCACCTTAATAATCACAGTTTCTGCAGTTTTAAAACACACAGCAAAACACAAGCTCTTCAAACAGCTTTGAACAAAATATTTCTTCAAGAACAATTCTCACCACTACAACACTCTTTTTCTTTTTCAACATATTTTTTTTCTTCAAAATGAAATGATAAGATAGAATCTTATCTTTTTATTTCTTTAAATACTCCCACCATAGCGGTGAAGATTATTAAAAACTCATAGGCGGTGAAAGCTTTAACCAATAGAAATAATCTTGGGTGGTGAGTTTTTCATTATAAAATTCATGGTTTCTTAACCATGAAGATATAAGTTTTTGAATATAATAATGTTTCCACCAGAATAACTTATCACAAATATGCACCACCTCATGTATGCTTCACACCACATGCATACATGTATAAATCATATATGTCATAACATCTTTTCACATATATGAATGCATAATATCATGTTCACATATATAGTTCATGCATTTCTACTTAGATATGCATATTWCAYGTAATYCACATAATAAACATGTATAAATTACCTCAACCCAGGTTGTCTCAAACCTGGTTATAACATGTCTAATGTTTGGTACGATTAGACTGGATAGGACAAAACTAGACAAGTTAACCCTGAAAATCGTTTGATGATTTTATATATCATATAATACTTATGACACAAATCAAGTAAATATTTAAATAATTTAATTTATAAACATGTTTACACAATTTTAATATACTAATACATAAATATATAGTAGTACCAAATTTGAATGCATAATTTGATATAATTGATGGTAGTTTGGAAAAAAAATCTTGTTCGTAATTTATAAACTATGTTTAGTTCGGTTTGAAATATCTTTATAAACTAAAAAAGACACGGTGGAGATTGTTGCAGGAACAATAGGGTGGGGGTAGTAGAGGCGGTGGTAACCGGTGGATGATAGTGATTGTGGAGGATGAAGATGGTGAACAATGGTGGATGAGGTAGTTATAGCTGATGTGGTTGAGGTAGAGGTGGCCGTGGGTGGTGGTAGTGGTAGCCGATGGTGCTGGTGCTGGTGCTGGTGCTGGTGCTGGAGAACGATGATGATGAAGGAAGTGAATATGGTGGACAAGAGGCGTAGTGGAGGTTGTTGCAACGACAATGGTGGTGGAGTTAGAGGCGTTGGTTGTTGGTGGTGGCGGCGAAGGACGGTGATGACCATTAAAACAAATATCATATTATGGTTAGATGAGGGTTGATTAATAATTTTTTAGTTTGTCTCATCTTTGTCCCATCGTTTTCCACTTATTTTGGTGGAACAAGAAAAATCTTTTTTGTCCCACCTTGTCTCACCCAATCCCAGTTCTTAACCTTGTCCTATGTCGCGTCAAACGTCGTACAAGAGTTTTTGTCCTATCCCATGTACCAAACGAAGCCTTAGGGCCTTTTTGTTTGATAAAAACCTCTTAATGCCTCTTGAGTCTGAATCCGTCAGATGTTTTCCTTCTCAAGTTGTTTGATTTTCTTTCAAAATAAGAGCTAAAAAGCACTGACCATCATATGAAATTATAAGTGATACCTTGAACCATTAACCGGCAATTATTCGCATACGCTGTCAATCTTGCCTCTCAAGTTGTCAGTCCACCTCTCAAGCTGTCGATCTCTCAAGCCCTATCAATCTCCAGATTTCTAAACTCAAATTGTTCTCAAGCCAGTCGATCTCTCAAGCCCTATCGATCTCCAGATTTGTAATCCTAAATCGATATTTGCCTGTCGAGCTCCAAAAGATATGTCAATCTCCCAAATTTAAACCCAGATCGTCCCTTTGTTCTTTCTTCTTCCTCTCTTTCCTATCTTCAATTTGATAGAACCATATGTCTCTTTGTATCTGTGTGTGTTTGTTTGCTTGTTCTTACACGGCGCACATGCACATAATGAGTTGATGTGATTTACGACCCAAATGAGAAAACAAAGAAAGAATGGTCAGTAGCCAGCAGGGGACTAAAATGATGATGAGGAATCTATTTTTCTTCTTTCACAGTTCCCTTTAGCAATCCCTATTTCTCACACACACACTCTTTCGTCTACAGTTTTTTTTATTATAGCTGGTGTTGTTTGATGTTTTTGGACCTGTGTTATGATCTCGTAAATGTCATTTTTCTATATGGGGTTTTCCTTGGAGATGATCTTGTCAGTCCCCTCTTTTCCCTCTTTCTTATGTGTTGATTTTCTGTCTCTTTGATGTGTTATTACTGTTTCTTAGAAAAATAGTTGTGATCTGAAATGTCAATTCTCAATATGGGTTCTTCTTTCTTGGACGATATTAGTGTCTTTCTCTCTGTTCTCTTTCTTGGATCAAGTGTTTGTGATGGTTTTTGGCATAGTTATTATAAAAATATCAAATCTTTTGTGGATTTTGATTTGTTGATGACCAGTCTTTTTCTCTCTGTTTGCTTTATGTTCCCATTCTTCAAATTCCCTTTTTTTTCATTACATTTTATGTCATTTATGATGTTTTTGACAATTTCTATTTATAAAAACAAACAATTGTATTGATTCAGATTTCAGACATTTATCGATTTACAAAACCAAACGATCTTATTAATTCAGATTTCAAACTTAAGACATTTCATATCTCAGACTTCAGACTATTTATCGGTTTATAAAAACAAACTATCATATTAATTCAAATTTCAGACTTCTATTCTACATCAACAATCTTGTCAATTCAGATTTTAAACTTCAAACATTTATAAAAACAAACATTATAATTGATTTAAATTCTAAATACAACACCATCTTTTTATCAATAAAAAATAAAATAAAACTAAAGAATTCGAACCCCTAAAAAAACAAACGTCATTTTGATTTGACCCGAGATATAATTTATTATCGCCAAATATTTAGGGGTGGGCTAAATACACCTCTATGTATTGCTTAATGCACCCTTATCCATGAATTTCTTCCTCACACACATCAACATTAATACATGCTTTTTACATTCCCAATGCTTGAAATGACCTTATTCTTACATAAAAAAGGGTGCCATTAGCACTCCCCGATATTTACCATCTGATAACATATATTTGTTTGAAAGAAATTATGGTGCAAATGATTATGCTGAATCCTGATCGTCACTTCCTTTTCAAACTTTGGTGCAATATCTGACAAAATGTCAGCAAAATTTCCAAGATCCAAAAAAACCCAATTCACAGTCTGAATAAGGTACAAGTCTTTATAGCATGATTGATCTGGATTTAACAATTACAGCTCTGACAAAACGATTCCCTACCAGCTACTAACAAATCAAAGAAACAGCACCCACAGAACAGAAGCAACACCCTTGTTACAATTAGTTCCATGATTCAAGTGTAGGAAAGCTAGAGAAAGAGTCAAAATCGATTCCACCGTCGGCCATCGCCGGAGGTCGAGAGAATCCGGTGCCGGAAACAGCTATCCGTTGGGTATTATTGTTGTGATGGTGATCAAGCAAATAACGTGACGTGTCCAACGTCGGCAACAGTCCTTGTAACTTGTTGATAAAGGGTTGTCGGAGGGCTTCCGGTTTCACCACCGTGGAAACCGGCATATGTCCATTACCTTCTAACTTCACCCCGGTCACCTGCTGAACCATCTGCCTAAAATTACTTGGGTCCGCCTGGATGAACGTGGTCATCGACCGTTTCGACGCACGTGACTTACGCTTGGCCGTTTTCCCAACAGACACACACAGGTTTGGTCCCCGCCTTTTGGATCCGGGGGTTTCGGGCTCCGAACCGGAACCACTGGCGGTTATCGTCGACGCCGACGCAGTAGTACTGCAATAATCACTTTGCTTCACCATAAAAGAGGAGGAAATCGGGTGGTTAGCAGCGGAGACGATATCGGGATGTTGGTTCCGATTAAAAAAAGATTGTTGCAGGGCTTTGGTTAGAGCGGTTTCGGTTTCTTTTGAGAAAGCATCTGAGTACCATGAATCGCCGCCGATTGTGGATCTGAGCATCCATGGTTCAATCGTCGCCAAATTATCCGATGAAGCCATTATTGTTTTTTCAAATTGTTTGGTTGGTTTTTCTGAATTTCTTCAATGCATTTAGGGTATGACTGTAGAGAGGTAGGGAGGGAGAGGAGTGGGGGAGGAGTTTGGAGAGGAAGGAGATAAATAGGGCGGTGAGAAAGGGAAACGCGTTTATCGGGGACACGCGTCAATGGTGGCGTCACCATTGATGTACGGATAGCTACTTATCTTGACGGTCTCATCTCATGTGCTTGCCACTACACCTTGAGTACACCACCTAATTCTTTTTATTTTTTTTATTTGGATCCCTTCATTTTAATGAGTTATGCTAAATGAGACCTTCAAAAATTAAATTAAGACACTCCGTCACAAATTTTATAAATAGTGAAAATGAATTTTTTTTTTGTTTTCTCTTCCGTTAAGATAGATTTTTTATATAGTTTTATAAAAAGTTATAATTCGATAAAGCTTCAAAATTTTCTAAAATTTGATTTTATGTTTTTATATTTATCGATGAAATTGAATTATTATTATTTTATATAATTCTTTTGAAAAGTGTATTAAAATTAATTTATAAAATATTTTAATAATATAATAAATGTTGAAATTTCAAAAATAAAGAACATGTTCAAGTTAAATGTAATTCATTTGTAAAAAAATTAAGTTTTATTTTTCTATTTTAAAGAAATTATAAAAAATATATTGGCAGATGTGACTTAAAAATAAAGTTTGACTTTTAAAATTATAAGATATAATGACGTGCATCGATTTATTCGATTAGAACCAATATAAATGGAGTATTCGATTGTAATTTGATCAATCATCAGTTGGTTATTTAATTGTAGCATAGAATTCAATACAAACAAACCAATTCTAATCCAATTACTATCTAACAAACATCCAATTATTAAATATATGTAACTAATAATTTTATGATATTGTTTTAGTTGATATTTACATATAGCGTATTTTAATAAAGTAAGATAACATATAAATAAATGGTTTTGAAAAGTCCTAATTCTAGTATGGAAGGTTAAGATCTTATTATTGATGAACATGCTTCTTTATTTTATTTTGAGTAAACATCTTCTCATCTCTTGAGTTAATAAGGTTAAACACGCTAATGAAACGACGTTAACACCAGAAAGTGCACATGTTTCTATGAAATTTAACTTTTTTTATCCATCACCAAATTTGCTTACCCTTTTGTATTTGAAAACCACCCCCCCCCCCCCTTCTTTCATAAACTTTTGGTGCTACATTTCACCTTTGCATTACCTATTAGGCCCTACATAGGATTTCAGAGTCTAATATTAAACTTCTTATTCTTGATAACTTATTAAATTTTAGCTATAAATAGAAAACGTTTGCTACTTCTCCAAGAAATCTTAGCCCCCATTTACTAATCTCTTACCATCTCTTATCCATTAAGAGATGCTTACCCGGGTAAGAGGTAAAAATGTTTACCTAAAAGCAAAATTAGCAATCAGATTTCCTGCCTCTGACCGTCCTCTTACTAGGGTCAGCATAAAAAATGAATCTTATCGTGGTAAGAGGGATGTATTCCTTATCTACCATCTCCATCTAAAACCCTAAATCGGTGTGTCTTCTTCATACAAACAGGTGCGTCTTCTTCATACAAACAGGTGTGAGCTTGCTTCAGGTATCGTTGATTTCATTTTCTCTTCGATTTGTTGTTTATCGTATATTTCTTTTCGATTCTTCTTCTTTTTCTTGATTTCTAACATCCCAGATTTGGTAATCGATTTCTTGATTTCTTCTTCCTTTTCTTATTTTCATAAATCTGCAAAGAAAAGGAAAGGGGATCTTTGTGAAGCTTCAAACGACCAGCCGACTCTAGGTATTCGATTTTCTTCTCTGTTGCTGCAAATGGGTCGATTTTCTTTTTGTCATTCTCTGGTTTATTTTCTTTTGAGTATGGTTTATTTCTGCAAAAGTTATAGTGTATGTTTGAGCTATCATACATACATGTACCCTACGAAAACGTTAAAGAAATTTACCTACTAGATCCACTAGTCGTTTGTGCACAAGGATTTATAAGTTATAACCACCAACCCCCGAATCAACCCAAGGACACACAACAGACTCAAATCATAAGCCAATTGTGCTATGTCTGGGCTTGAACCAACTGTTATTTGTGTTGTAAATCTCCAGGACTTGCTTTTATTTGTGAGTACAACTAGCAATCACAAAATTAAACAACATAACATAGCCACCAGCCATAGTGTTTTGGTAAAAATAAATCTTTAATATGGGTTTTTAATACCCAAGAAAAAAGGGCAATCTTTTTCATCATATGTAAATAAACATTGACAGACTGACAGACATGCTTCAAGGGAGGATTAGTTCCATTCTGTATCCTGCCCTGATACACGAAACGAGATTCTCCAAGACCACCAAAAGGTTTGATCTTAACATCTGAAATAATTGGAAGCCTATTTGGAGAGAACGTTGTATATATACCCTACAAGAATACATATCAAGAACACTCCTACAAACCCCACAAATGAGATAACAAGAATAATGCCAAAACCACCAAATGCTACTCTGTGCGTTGCTTCTGGACCATCATCTGTTGAGCTTGCAATTGAAAAGTATCAAGGAAATGATAAAATTAGAATCATAAGATATGTATATGCATTTGGAGTAGATGGGGTGGTCTAGTCAGAGAATTAATTGTCTTTTAAAGTTTATGGCATTATGAATGCATTTCACATCAAGGATGGGGGTGGGGTGGGGAGTGGATATGTGTTTCAAAAGTAGACCTCACAGTAGCTTCAGCTTTGGGACATGTAGAAGAGTAAAAGCCTGATTTCAATCCTACTTGAGATTTAGCAACTGGGATTAAGAATAAACTCAAACTAATGATGATTAGCAAAGTAATCTCCATTTCTGAATATAAGATTGTTGTATCTAATAGGATATATATAGAGTAGTAGCTAACTAATTGTGTTGATTTTGATGGTACTAAAGAATAGAAATTCTTGTTCGATTTTGATGATACTAAGAGATGGAATTGGCATAGAAAAGTGAAAGGATTTGGTGGGATGAAGAAATATTGTTTGTGTGTAGGCTGACAATATTTGTAGGAGGGTGAAGCTCAAGATATTGAGTTATGGTAGTGATGGAATTGCACTATTATTTTTGCAGGCATAATTGCAGCGGTGAAAAGTGATGTGACACAAGGAGTGAAACAATGGAACAAATAATCCCAAGTAGTATTGTCATCCTGGTCATAAAAATAGGCCTATTTTGTCCATACTTATTGCCCCCAAAAAAACTCAACCATATTTTCATGGTAGAATCAATTTGAATGTATAAGTATCAACCAATTGGGGACTAATCTAAATTTGGATTAATCTGTATTAACCAATTGGGACTTTCACAAGTTTGTATATATTGTGGTCTTGGTGCATTTTATAAATGATCAATATGAAATACAAATAAAACACATCATAAATACTTGAATCCAAAATACCAAAATACTTGAATTATGTCATGTCCTCTTAGGGTGCGTTTGGTGCACAGACAGGACAGGACAGGACAGAACAGGACAGGACAGGACTGGACAGGACAGGACAGGACAGCTGTTCAGCGTTTGGTAAGGCATGACAGAACAAAACAGAACTGGTGAAAATGACCAATTTGCCCCAGTGCAAATCGAACAGCAAATTGATTCATAGCAAATCGAACATAGCAAATTGATTCATAGCAAATCGAACATAGCAAATCGATTCATAGCAAATCAAACAGCAAATCGA